TCGGGCTGGGGCTGTGGGGCGGCTGGTGGCGGCCAAACGAAAGGAAAAGTGAAAGCGCACTTTGGCCTTTGCCTTCGGATTTTCCATGGGGTGGGTTGTTTTTTCCTTTCCCCTGGCACAGATCTGGATAAAAGAAGGTTGCGAAGATGCAGGGCGGTTGTCCGACCGGCGCTGGAAGCAGACAGTGTGATTTTGCAACTCCTGTAGACAGACTGTGCTGGAAACACTTAACTTCTGGTTTTCGCTTCTCTACGTAGTTGTGTCTGGACGCTCCTTGTCCCAGTGTTCTGGGCTGCGGCGCTGGTTGTGGGCAGGGGGAGAGGGGGGCAAATGCACAAATTCCCACATCTCTAATGAGTAAACGAGCCAGAAACGGCCAAACCCACGAGTCCTGCTGCAAACAAGCACAGATGAGCAGGACCATGAGCTGGGGGAGTAGGGAGGTTTCACATCGTGGAGCTGCCCCTGACCTTTGGGTGGGTTTTTGTAGCTGCCCCAGCGCTCACACCTTTCCCCCTGCTCCGAGGGCGTCGCAGGCAGCATCTCACCGAAATGAGTCACTGCCCTGGCTGTGCAGTGACAGCCCTGAAGCTTTGTCTGTTGTCTCACACCTTCTCTAGCCGGTGGTACGTCACTTGCAGCTGCCCAACCCACCCGGCGCTCTGGCCCTGCGCTGGGGCTGCTCAGCACCCCTGGGACTCGGGTGTGCTTGTACGGGGGCGCAGCGTGCCGGGAGGTCGCTTTTTCTCGGCAGAGCAGGCTGGTGAAGGCGCTGAAGGTAAGTGTGTACCTGAGTCTGTGGCAGGATTGACACCTTTTGTGGCTCAGTTCGTGGCGTGAGGACGGGCAGCTTGCGGAAAGGGGTCTAAATCTCCGTGAGCAGTTCCTGTGAACGTGCTCTGTGGAGGATTCAGGAGGGGGAGTGGGGAGGGGGAAAGCCGCGTGAGCGAGCTCTCTGGGCTGTGCTGGGTCTGTGAGCCTGAAGGACCTTACCTTGCAGTCCTGCCAGCACACATGCTTCCAGTTTCAAATTAGGAGGCAGAGATTATATTTTTTTTAAAATATTGTCTTTAAAGTTAGTGTAGTAGGGAAGGTTGTGATATACCACTTAGGTGGAGAAAAAAATCCCACTTTTTCTATGTGACTGATTTTTTTTGAAGTCCATGCACTGAGAATGAAATTCTTGCTGTTTCATGATCATCCACACTTTATTCACAAAGGTTAGATTGGATTTCTGAAGGGTGTCTCCTGGGGTCCTCACAGACAGTTTTGTTTTCCAGGTGCAACCATGGAGAACCTGCGTAACGCCAACAGCAGATTTGCACTTGATCTGCTCCGAAGGTTTAGTGAGAGCAACCCAACAGGAAATGTTTTCTTCTCTCCCGTCAGTGTCTCTGCAGCTCTGGCCATGGTCCTTTTAGGGGCCAAAGGCAATACAGAGGCACAGATGCTGAAGGTTAGTAAAAAAAATAAATAAATCAGTTCTCTTTTGCTTTATATGTTATTTACATTGAAAGTGGTTGTGTTTTAGAGAAGGGAAGATGAAAAGGAGGTTGTTATTTTTATGTGCTCAGGGAAGATTTGGATGGGCTCCTGCCTGCTCTGCTCCAGAACCCTTTCTCCATATTTGCTGTGGCCATTGTTTCTCATTTAATTTTGCTTATTAATTCTTGAAGTAGGAAACTAATTTCCTTACTTAATCAGTCTCAATTTAAATTGACCGAAGTTTCCAACAGCAGGGCCCTGTTAGTGTTCACCTGAGACGTTTCCAGAAGGAGCTATTGCTTTGTAATACAAGGCACACTTGTAACCAATGGTGTGCTTATTCATAATAATACTGTGTATTTTGGAAGAAACACAAGAATAATAATACATGGTGTTATGTTTAAATGGTAAGGAGTGTGATAATACATGATGATGCTACCTAAGTGTCAGATTCTTAGTAACAGCTGGGACAGGAGCTGAGCCCACGTGCTGCTTCTCGCCATAGCCTCAGGTAGGATAGTTTAAAAACCCTCATTACAAATTGCAAAAGCGGTGCATGTAGGAGTGTGCCAGTTTCCCCTGAAGCCTCCTGCACAGAAAGGAGCTGGTCACTATTATTTTCCCCCTTTTTTAGGCTAATGACCGCCACCGCAAAAGGGCCTTATGAGACTTGTCCTTGCGGTCGTCACCATGTACTTGCCTGTGACTAATTTCACCTTTGTATTCTGGGCTTTAGGAGGAGTAGTGCCGTGTTTACTGAATAAGACAATAAAATTAATTTCATACTACTTGTGCAAATAGACTTTGAACGTATGTATCATATAATCAAACTGACAGCCCCTCCCAGGATAAACCTACTGACAGCAGAAATGATGCAAAGGAACTCGGGGCAGAAAAACGTGTTTCAGCACGGTGCCATCCAACGATGCGTATTCCCACACCAGAGCGCTTTGCTTGTGAACAGACGGTGAATTAGGGAGGCAGCGATTGGGAACAGTCAGGGGCTGTTTGCAAGCTCATAGAAATTTGTCTCTGTGATCGTAATCCTGTTGTAAATTGCCTCTGTGATGTTGTTGCTGAGCTGCTCCCAGGTACAACACAGCTCCCGTTAATGTGGGCAGCAAGGCCCAACCAAAACCTCAGTGAGATACAGTGAGGGCTTTCCTTTGAATCTGGTGGGTGTTTCACAGCAGTCTGCCCTACGGAGAAACACGCGCTTTAGGCTCAAGCGTGAACCTCCCTGCTTTGGTCCAGCCTTCTCTGCCAGTGAGCTCGGGCAGCTCCTGCTGCATCTGTAAGCCCTGGCCAGCCAGCTCGCCTCTGGGAGAGGTGCTCCTGGCAAAGGGAGACTGCATTCCTTTGATTTTTTAGGATGATACAGTTTTTATAGGAATATATAAGCTGTTATGTGTTCATAACACCATAGAAGGTGCTAGTGCTCGTTTTGGTTGCACGATCTGAAAAGCAAAGCCACAGGTTCCCTTGGGCCAAAGGGGGAAGGAAGCAAGAAAGCCAAAGTGTCTACGTGGTGGTGTCTTTCTTTTCAGTTCCCCACCTGGGAATAAGGCCTCGTGCCCCATGGTCCATGGAGGGGAGGCACGCAGGCGTCACACGGACAGGACTCGGGGTTGTTAACGATCAGTGACTGTAACTGTGACAACGTATGAACCAGGAGGACTCGGGGTTGTTAACGATCAGTGACTGTACCTGTGACAACGTATAAACCAGGGGCTTAGTACCAGGGGCTGACACAGGCAGCGTAGCCCCCAGAAGCAGTTTAATGCATTCTGTGGGGTTTACAGATATCTCTAAGCAGCTTCCAGCTCATTTTCTCTGTATTCAACCTACCTACCTCCTGGATCAGACCCACTCTGTAATCTCCCATATGTCCTTTTAAGACAGTATGAGTAGCACCTAATTTGCTGCTTTTGTTTCCAGATGCTTCATTTTGACAAAGTTGAAGATGCTCATTCAAACTTTCAGACTCTGACGATGGATCTAAACAGAAGCAATGCTCCCTATCTCCTGCGTCTCGCTAATCGGCTTTTTGGAGAGAAGTCCTACAGCTTTTTGCCGGTACGCTGGTGCGGATTGTAATGGTGTGGTGGAACCTGTTGGGAAACTGCAGCTCTCTCAGTATTTGTGAAGGAGAAATATTTCTAGGCGTATTTGCAAATGTTACCGGGCAGCCGATGGAAATGTTGCGTACCTGCACATGCATTTCCATATCTGTAGGATCTGTGCATCTCACCTAAGGGATGTCACACAGCAAGCCCCTTTCACTGCTTGTTTGGTTCTGCCGCTCTTGCGCTCAAGAGAAAAATCCTTTGTCTGGGGTCTTAGTTTGGAGTAACTGTCGTAACATCCCACTCTGTTGCAACCAGCTTTTTAGGATGCAACCAGCTCTGTGTCTGTGGCCGCCAGCTTTTTTAGGATGTGAGCAGCCCTGTGCCTGTTGCAATCAGCTTTTGAGGATTTTCATTGGTCTAGTACCATGTTACCTAAATATTTTTGAAAAGGCTGTATTTATTAGGGAGGGGGTGCCCAACATGTCTAAACAACGTCTCTTCACCAGGGCACGATACTTCTGTGTGTACCCGGGTTACTGTTTTTGTCCTTCTCCAGGTCTTTGGGAGACTTTTGGTTTATCCTAACTGCACTTGAGCCAGTTTCAGGAGAATGACACGTAAATATTGCAACACCTGCAATAAGCGCCCCATCAGCTGTATACGTGGCAGATACACTGCAAAGCTTAGTCTGAGAGGGAAAAAATAAATGCAAAGCAACGACCCAGCTTCAGAGGCCCCCAGGCAATGCACTGGTAGGGCCCTACCTCAGAGCAGGTGATAATCTGACACGCACCTTATCTAGGTTGTAGAGAGATGTTTTCTGATCTGCACCCAGTGAAAGCTGTTCTTATCGTTCCAAAATCTAGGATTTCCTGAGTAATACTCAGAAATTATATGGAGCTGATTTGGCTACAGTTGATTTTCTTCAGGCTTGTGAGGAAGCCAGGAAAGAAATTAACCAGTGGGTCGAGGAGAAAACTGAAGGTAAATGACTTTGAGCAATAAAGTAACTGGAAGTGTTTTGTACTTTGGGAGCAAGAATAGGCATTACTCTCTGCTGCCTTCAGGACAGTTGCATTTTGCCCTGGGATATTCGCCCGATGCATTGACAGACACAGAAAATACCTAAGCAAGAGCCTTAAACAGTTCCATAAACCCTGAGACTTTTGTGTTCAGGCTGATGAGTGCAGGGGAGATGCCGAAACATCAACTCATGAGTTGGAGAGTTTGTTTTAGACAGCGCCAGTCCCGATCACAGAATCACAGAATGTCTGGGGCTGGACAGGACCTCAAAAGATCATCTAGTCCAACCTCCCTGCCAAGGCAGGACCCCCTAGATATTGTATATATATTTCAAAATCCAGTGATCCTAGACGTGGGTATTTTCTAGTTCTTGCATGATGAGTGTGGAAAGTCATACGTGACAGTTTAAACAAAAATGTCTTGCTTTTATTAAACTACTGTGTATCAAAAATTCTAGCATACTGCTAAAAGGTGTGGTGAAGAGACAGCAGCTGAAGCACTGTATTAAAAGAATCACAGGAATGGACTGGAATGTTATTTTTGCAGTACTTCTGTGGCATCAGTTTCCTTGTGTATGTTTTATATGCCGTCAACTTACTACAAGAGTGTGTTGTGACTTTCTTCCCCCCGCCCTCTCTGAAGGTAAAATCCCTAACCTGCTGTCTGAAGGCTCAGTGGATAACATGACCAAGCTCGTACTGGTGAATGCTATTTATTTCAAAGGGAACTGGGAGGAAAAATTTAAAGAAGCCGATACCACAGACGTGCCATTTCGGTTAAATAAGGTAATACGACATCTTGCTAGTATATATCTAATAAAACCATCAAATAGTATAGGTGCTAAAGTGAAGCTTTGCTTACCGATAAAATACAAAAAAAATGTAAAATGGGAGGCCTTTAATGAATATTTT